CCCAGAACCTAGAAGTCACTAGTACAGAGCTACTAATAAAACGAGTACAAGTCACAAAAGTGGACTATAGAAAAGTGGACTGTCTCGAAAGGTACAAGACAAGTCTATATATACAAATGGAGACTGAAATAGTACAAAACGCCGTGTGCTCACCCCCGTCTCCGGATCAGACTACTCCAAGAATGATGTCAACGCTGGCCACTGGTGCTCGAACCTGCATCACGAAAACAGATGTAGAGCGTAGCATGAGTACCAAAACAACAGGTACCCAGTAGGCATCATAGGCCGACTGAGCTTGAAGAGTAAAGGCAATATGAAAAGAAGGAATAGCACAAACAGAGGTCAAGAGCGGAAGTCTAAGTAAACAATGGAATGCACACGAGTGTAGAAAGAACTAACTAAAGTAATCAATAAGCTAACTACAGCTAATTGGACCCCCATAAGCTCAAAAGATATACTCGTGCGCAAGTTTAAATAAAAACCCGAACGGACCCCCATAAGCCTGATGAGTACACGGAATAACTATAACTAAAGAGAACAAAACCCAAGACCGGAGAACATCGAACCAAAACATCAAACCAAATTAGTAGAATATGATAGTACGGAGGCCAGACCTCGAACCGGATGCTCACCAGAATTACCCAAGTAATCAATCACAAGTATCAAGTAAATGAGATCTGACCTCTAACCAGATGCTTTATAGAAGTATCGGGGTGATCAAGGCCGGACCTTGAACCGGATGTACTTCAAAAATATCATTGAAGTCGAGGTCGGAACTCGAATCCGGATGCCCGACAAAGGTGCCAAAGTAGCTGCTGAAAGTGTTCCAATCAATCCATAATCATAAATGTCTGTGGAACGCCGTCCACACTTAGCCAATCAATGTAAGTCCTTGGAACCGAATCGAAAACCAACTTCAAATCACGAAGAAGAACTCAGTGTCGCCGACGTAACTCGTGAAGCCGTAGCATCAGAGCAATAAGGATAACTATCGTCGCAGCAAGCTTATCGCCTAGCTAAGGCCCAAACTATCAGACTCAACTCTGCTACACCAGTCTACATGAATCTAAGCGGGCCCAGCGACATCGGGGAAAAACTAAGGTCTATCAATTCTGAATCACGCATTTCTAAGGCAAACCCTAGTCAAACCTAAACTAAGGCCCAACATGCTTCAATAAATAGTAATTAAGCGTACAAGTACTCCACATAGCAAAGAGGGTCAATTAATAACACATAGCATGCTCACAGTTACTCGATAATTCCTGAAATTGGTCGAAAACATGATTTCAAAACACCTATGCATGATTCAATAACTACCCAACCCAAATCCCAACTAATCAACATGCATTCATATGCTCGAGCTCAATCTAAGGGAGGGAAGTCGTAGCCTACCTGTATGCCGATCACGCGCGCTTCAAATCACTTCTCCGGAGCTTTCCCTTTTCGAACGACCTCGAAATGCTGCCACGCTATAAAAAATAGAGTCACAACGTTATTACGGTCGTTTAGACACTAAAATCACAAGAAACGAAGACAGATCAATTTCGGGGTTAAAACGGGGAAAGTGGGACCCGCGCTGGAAATTCTGAAATTAACCCCAAAAATAGGTCATAATCAGTTCTCCAAGCTCATGTCCTGAAATGGGACACAATTCGGGGATCGAAATGAGTCTGAAGGCCTCGGGAGTCGAACAAAAGGTCGTTCTTGACCAAACTCGACATTCTGGGGCTAACCGCGCTGACGGAATTTTCATCCAAGCGCATTTTTCAAGAATGTTGACCAAACTCAACCTCAGGCCAAATTTCAAAAGTTAAAACGCCTAATGATCCAAACTCGCACCGAAGGCCTTAGTACTCGTGCCAGCCATGCTACTAGCCTAATTTAGCCATTTCGGAGTTGATGAAACCGTCAGAATTCCATTTTGAGGTCGTTTACATGACGTTTTGACTAAAGTCAACTATTCAAGCTTTAAGGTCTCTAAAACACGGAAAGCTGCACAAAATCCAAACGAACGATCAGGCGACCGAACAGTTAGTGCCAGCAAGTCATAAATGATTTGGGGTCGCTATAGGAACGCTCTAAACAACGAAAAGAAGGCGAGTACACAGAAATGACCTGGAGGATCATTACATTATTGTAATTTTTTCAAATGGTAGAAAATTTTAGAAATTATGGTTAAAAAAGATTATGTAGTTAGGTATTTTTTCCTATTAAATGTACATCACTACCATGTATACTAATCCTAACTGTACTTTCAAACAATATCACTAGTTAAGAATTTTATACCATAGAATGAGAAAATACATTCAGATACATATATTCCTAAAAAGAAATACTCTAGATCGGTTATCTGCATAATTAAACCATCCTCAATTCATATTTTACTGTCACCGTCCCCAATTCATGCTTTAATAACAATCAAACTCTATGTGTCTCGTCAGCCTCCCACTTCACATCCCCTACCACACTTATCTCTTCCTTCATTCTCCTCGCCACAATTTTCACCATTAAAATTTTAAAATTGAAATTTCGAACAAAAGCACACTAATTTGAGGTTTGTATCTACTTAAAAATTGTTCTAATTTATGTATATGTGACAAATTTTTATTTGTCATGTCTTCTAATTTTCAAAAGTTAAGGTAAAAATCTATTGATTTAAGATTTTCTTAATTTAATTTTCTCCAATGAAAAATCATCAGCGCCAACTCATCCTTTTCTTCGACTATGAGATGTTGATGGTAAGTCATAGCCACGGAGCACTGCTTTTCACAGCAACAAAGCAAAAGGTGAAGCAAACACTATCGTGGTTAGATGTCGAATCAGCCAAACAATTTCAATAAGCAGAGACTTACGCATATATCTAGCACATTATTGATATATCTAACACATTAATGAGTAAAGATTATATGTTTCTAGTTTTTATCAGTGTATCTGATTAAATGTATATGTATTTGACAAAATATACGCATGTATTGGAGATTTACGCATATATTTGGCACACTATATATTAATGTATCTCGCACATTATTGATGTATCTAACACATTATTGAATTAAGATAAACTTTCATGAGGACCTATTACCTCCCTAGACTATATAATAGTGTATTTTAAACATATATATTTGCCCACGTGGACATAAAAAATAATGCAAAATTATAAATAGTAATGTGTCCACGTGGGCACATATATACCTTTAAAATACACTATTAAATAGTTCAGGGGGTAAAAAATACGGTATTAAATAGTCTAGGGAGGTTATAGGTCCTTATGAAAGTTTATTATCGCAACAGCAAATCCGACCAAAGTTGGGGTATTTTTAAGACCCTTATCCCAAGATTATATGTATCTAATTTTTATCATTTTATTTAATTAAGTGTAAATGTATCTAATAAAATATACATATGTATCTGAATACGAGTTCAAGAATCTGTGTTAAGAAGTGTAAATTTTACTGAATCGCCAAAAAATAGGATTTTAATTGTTTTGATGTTTTTTAGGAATTGTGATATGTCATATCCTCTAAAGTTATTAAAAGAGTGATTTTCTCCTTCATTAATGACTTTCAATTATATCCCTTAATTAGACATACTCCTTCATTAATGATTTTCAATTATAAATCTTAATTAGACACACTAATTGATATGTATTTGTCTTACATGTATCTCGGATACATGTATCTAGAAGAGGCAGATACATGTATCCGAGGCCAAAAATGTGGCAATGAACGTAATATTGCAATTTGCAAACTAGCGGGAATCTAAGTAATTAATTTCTAAAGAAGTGGAATTTGTGTAAATATCCAATGTTTTATAGAGTTTTTGGAACAAGATAAAGATTACGTCAATAGTTGAGATCATTCCTCCATCCGAGTATTGAATGCATTATTGTTATGAGGTAATACCCATGTAGTAATGTAAGAAACCAAGTTTTATTATTGGTCCGTCCAATTTGTATATGTCTCATTTAGGGATGTAGAAGCAAAGAAAAAGCAAATAATTCATATGAGTATGAAATACATTATTATTAGGAGGTACCACACGTGTAATGTAAGTCAAGTTCTATTATTGTTCCGTCCATAAGGATTCAAACCTCTAATTAACTGTAGAATATCCCAACAATCTCTCTTAAGTCATGAGAATCTAAATTGCTCAATTGATTGACTATGTGAACTTTATCTTATTGATAGAAATTCGAATTCTCATAATTCTTTTCCTATTTCTCCATTTCCTAGCCTCAATTGTTTTTTAAAAAATCCATCCATCCCATAATTGGTGCATAATTACCATTTCTTTATGCTCACAATTCATGTTAATGGAACACAAGAAATAGACCCGAGAATGACTCCTAGAAGTCTAATGATATAAACTTCTTTTTGCCCACATTTTTATTTCATAGTTATCTCTTTCAATTTCAAGGACAATTATTTTTCTTCTTGAGAATATCCCAAATGGAATAGGGTCTCACATCAAGGCTATCAATGTAAAAAGGTTTAGCTTTTATTCTTCTTTTGACCTTTTGTCAAATATAGGATAAGAATTTCATCACTATCCAATATAGTTGTCTCCAAGGTGGTTGGCAAAATTGGCCTTGACGATAACTTGGAATGACAAAAAAGACTTTTTCTATTGATTTTGCACCTTTCTTAAAAAAATATAAATAAAGGGTTTATTTTACTACATCACTCCTTGAATATAATAAATATAATGTCTTGAAAAATGTAATAGAGAAATGACTATAATTAATTATAATAGTACATTAGAAACTAAGTGTTGAATTATCCATTAATTTCATAAAGTGGACAAATATTGCTTGACACCCAAAATAGTATAGTAGACAACCATTGTTGAACGGAAGAAGTATATTTTAAAAATAGACAACAAACTCAATGTAATCCCACAAACAAGATCTAGAGAAGTTGACATGTACACAGACTTTATCACTCACTCGTGAAAGCAGAGAGAATGTGTTTAATTCCAATAAGAGAATGGTTAAAAAGATGGATAGAGCAGATTGAAATTTGATATTTTATTCACAGTAACACTACATAATGTCAAATTTGCAATCCTCTTCATGACTACAGAAGGGAAAAAATGCAAATAAAAAAGACAATTCAGTTCTCAATCATCAAATGTGGGGGAAAAGCAAACTAGGACAAACATTTTCTAAAGGACAATATGGATAACAATTAGACAGAGGCCTTCTCTTCTTTGTCAATTTACTCAACAGCCAATGGAACAAGTTGAGCCTGAATCAAAACAAAATAGAGAAGTTCCATTAGTAGTTGCTTTAGACAATTGGAAAAGTGCAGAAAGCAGAGAGATTTACCAGCTTGCGGAATTTGAGAGCATAAAACATCTCAAGATAACGACGAATTTCAAGACGATCGAGCTTGGAAACGTGCTTCCAGAACCCGTAAACAGCAGCTAGTGTCAACAGCCGATCGGAATAGATTTGCCATGTGTACCTATAGCAACAGGAGATTAGAATCACTTTGAATTAATGCACTCAATAATGATCATGCGGTAGGAGGAAAAGAGCAGCAACTTACTTCTCTTGTATACGCTTAAGGCCACCCTCAGAAATGGCTTCCCAATGTGAAGGGTCTACCTTACATTTCTCAAAGAAATCAGCGAGAAGATCAGCAGCCTGCTCGCCATGGTATGGATCAATTTGGAAACCAGACTTTCCGTGAACGATGATCTCAGCTGGACCACCTTGATTTGTTGCAAATGTAGGCAAACCGCAGCTCATGGCCTCAACAACAGTCAGACCGAAAGCCTCGTAGAATGCAGGCTGCACGAAAGCTCCCCTGGTGTCAGCAATGTACCTGTAGAGTTCCCCATTCCTCACACGGTTCATCTGGGAAGAAATCCATCGGAACTGGCCATTCAAATTGTGAGTCTTTATAAGTTCATACATCTTCTTCATCTCTGCCTGCTCTTCCAAGTCTTTGGATTCCTTTCTTCGGTCTCCACCAACCACAACAAGGTTAACCAACTCCCTTAGTCGTGGATTCTTAGCATACCACTCGACGAGTCCAGTTAAGTTCTTCACTCGGTCCAATCTTGCCATGGTGAATATGATGGGCTTATTCCTGTCCTTCAACACACACCTGATATAGGAACATAAATCAATTCAGTACAAACTTGTTTATATCAGTAAACACAATTTCGCACTATTTTAGAAACATACAGGTGTTCTTCATTCTCGACATCGCTAAACAGCAAGTTTTCGATTTCAGGGTGAAAAGTTGTCAATCTCTTTTCCTTTTCGGAGTATGGGAAATAGAGATTCACATCAGCTCCTGGTGACACAATGTTGAATTTGGGATCGAACACATCAATGCCATGAACAACTCTATACAATCCAGGCATTGTGAAGGCCATGTGGCTCTCATACTGTCCAACGGTGTCCTTGCTAAAAAAATTGAAAAAATGTATTAGGATCAAACACAATGAAACAGGGAGAAAAACAATTTAATTAGAGCATGAAATTGATGTCATACCTTCCTGCTATCTCCTGGAAGGTGCTGGTGATGATGAAATCAGTGTGATTCATTGCTATAAGATCAGCAGTAAACTGAGCTGAGAAGTGGTATTTCTCGTCAAATTTGTTCAAGTAAATGTCAGAATCAGGATATTTGGTTTTCTCCAATGCATGAGCAATGGTGCACTGCAGAAGGCGAAGTAAACAAAACAGAAGAGAATTCTTAAATCTTCAAGTTCCAAATGAAAGGAAATGCGAAGTAAATCTTATACATGTGACCAATTTTACAAACCTGTGTTACGCCTAACTTGTGAGCCAACAAGGAGGCTGCAAGGTTTCCCTCACTATAGTTTCCGATAATAAGATCAGGCTTAGCTTGCAGTTCTGCGGTTATCTCTTTCCCCACATCCTAATGTATTAAAAGTCACAATTTTAGTGTAAGTAGGAAATTGCTGCAAAAATCAACTAGAAGATTGAAAAATGAATACAGAAAGGTTGCTTCACCTCAATGAAAGTCTCCATGTATGGCCAGACTTCAAAACGAGAGATCCATTTGCGAACAATGCCCTTCTCAGTCCTAAAGGGGACCCTAAGAATATGTGAATGCTCAGTTCCAAATACCTTCTCGAGTCGCTGACCACAAGTGGTACCAACTGCATCAGGGAGCAGCCGAGTAACCTGAGAATTTAAACAAAGATCAGATGCTGCATTAGAACAAATCAAAATCCTGCATAATCATAATCTATAAGCACAATTTCTGAGAATACTAACAATAAGAATACGTGGTTTGATATCAAGTCCTTGCTCCTTTATGCGCTTGAGCATCTCACGCTCCAAGGCAGGAACTTGATCCAAAATATAGACAACCTGCAAATTAAAGGAATGGGAACTCAGCACTTGCAGCAATAGGTTTCGAAGGAATACGTCAATGAGATCACAAATAAGCAATGCACCTGGCCACCAGTGTCGGGGTAACCCAAGACATTTTCCTGGGCGAAATATCCATGAGGTGAAAGTATAACTACATTGAAAACCATAGGAATTCTACTAAGGAACTTCTCAAGAGTACATGAGTCAGGAGCCTCGAGGAGATCCAGGAGCATGCAGATCATCTCTAGAACTCGCTCTGCGGTGTCACCCCAACCCCTCTCCAAGCCAATTTCTTGGAACTTGTGCTCAAATGCCGAGTATGACGTTTCTGGGGAAAGGGTGGTGAGGTATTCCTCAGCCTTCCTCAGGACTTTTTGGAGAGTATACAAATTCTGAATTCTATCATTTAGCATCATTGTCTGCACAGAAAATGATAGTTGGAACAATTTAATCATTTATTGGATGCAAAAATCAGTTACTACATACTGGAAATTTAACGGAGAAAAGCCACTATCAGAAACACTAAATTTACCTTTCCCTTGTAGTGGTGAACTCGAAGAAACTCGAGAAGAGGGGTCATGCTTTCCTTGTCATGGAACATTTTAGCAGAGAGGTGCCTGTTGAGGAATTCAACTCCATTTCCAATTGATTTGGTGAGGGTTGGTTTGGGAAATGATGCAGTGAAGGGCTCAAAATCCAATTCAAGAACAAAGTTATCGTTGGAACTGCATCAGGGAAAATCACAACATTAATCAAAAAAATTAATTAGATAACTAATCATCAAATTCAAACGTAAAACTTACGTTCCATTAACAAGTTCTTCCTTGAATTGCAAAAACTCAGGCACAGTCAGCTCCTCAACAATAAGAGCATTAACATTCACACGGACATATTCCCACACACCGGGTCTCAAACGAATAGCAAGTGCAACCCATGGGGGTAAAACAATTGCTTCCTAGTATGACAAATAACACATAAATATTTCAAATGCAAGCACAAACTGATACATATGTTAGCTTAGTAAGAAAATTCAATACAATCAACCTAACAATAAAACCAAGTTACCTGAGTGGACTTCAGGACTTCTTCAAAGGCATGATCATTCAGTTTGTCTTTGTCTTCTTTGTGAATTGATTCAAACTCAGCCAGCAGCTGGTGAGGTTTCAAGATCCCTTTTCCGTGGCTTTCGATCCTAATACACCAAGAATAACTCATGATGTACTTGTACAACATACCAAGCGAAACGAATCGAAACGGGCAAACAACAGCAACTAAATCAAAAGGCAAGAAGATTGCTCTAAAACCATACCTTGAAAGAAAGAGCAAAATTTCATTGCGATGAGCAGCCAAAGTAGCATCAAGACGTTCACGAAGGCTGTGAACACGAGTCAGAACACGTTCAGCCATTGCACCTGCAAATCCTCAAGATGACTTTCAACTGTAAAACACACAAACAAAATACTGTTAAAACTCAAAAATCATAAAAATATTTAACATATTACTACTATTATTATTATTATTAAAAGAGATGAGATTGTGGGAAAAATAAGTCACCTAATTAATCACCTAATTTTCCAATGATCTACAATATAGGAGTACAAATTTTCAACCCCACCTAGCACTACTACTATAATATTTTCCAAAAAAAAAAAATTCTAGAAAGTTTTTCAATTCAAATACCCTACCTAAATAATTTAAAATTATAAAATTTTCGTTTTATTTCATGAATTTCATATCCAATCAAACTAACGTATTTCAATTGAGACGGACGGAATAATAAAAACTAGCAGACCTACCAATATAATGACATGAGAGTTATCAAATAAATGCAGAATACAATACGTGACAACCAAGATAAATGTGGCCCAATAAAAAACACAACAGAGAGAACTTGCACTGATCTTCCTATTATTAAAAAAAATATATGTTACTAGTAGTCGTATTTCACTGTTTTAGTTGAACCACACAATAATTAAACAATTAAATAAAAAACACATATACTATATATATTTGATCAATAGGTACCCTTCATATATTTTTATTTTAAAAGGAATAAAGTGAGAATATGCCATCTAGCATCTAGTCTAGTAAACAACAACAAAATTTCCCCTTCAACATCTAACTCAAAAACAAAAAACTAGGAAGAAATTGTGAAGAAATCAATTACTAAAACATTATCATGAAGATAAAATACGTCTTGAATTAGAACTACTTTTTTTTTTTAATCATTCAATATCTGAAACTCAAGTCTGACTAAACAAACTAAAGACAAAAAAGAATCTTAACCATTCCACCAAGCTCGAAAACTACTTGTTAAGACGCAAGGAAACAAAACAAAATAGCTAGAATAAGGAAACAACAGTTTGAGTAATGAAGAAAAAAACAGAGAGAAGAAAAACAGAGCAGTACTAACAGGAGAAAAAGAAGAAAAGAGATGTGAGGATTTTTGTATCTTATTTTTTATTTGTCTTCTCGACAAATTATGTTTTATGTTTCAATGGATAACGCATTGTTTTCTAGCAGTGACGGTTACGAATAGACTTTTCTGTCAATAATTTTTGTCAAAGATTTGAAAAAAAAACAGAGGAAGTAAAATTAGAATTTGCAGAGTATAACTCTAGAACCTGACTAATTGAGGAAACAGACTTTTCTATCAACAAACGAAAAAAAAAATCCCACAACCTGATCTTTTTATCAGTGAACAAATTGCAAAATGGTCATGTAACAAAGCAGAATATGACAAAAAGAGGTGGTAACAAAAAAGGATACTCTGAAAACGAAAGGTAGATGAAGAAGAGTAGTAGTGCAAGCAAATGCAACTGAAAATTATTCCTTCTTTTTTTTAACATCTACGGATGAGAAAAAGATGAAACAAAATTCTTACGCACCGACATAACATAAAGAAATGTGAGTTGCAGGTTTTACCTTTTTTTTGAAGAAAAAGGAAAGAGAGGAAGGAATATTGAAAGGAATAATAATAGTAATAAATAGAGGGAAGTAATGAAATGGATGGAGGAAACACAAAGATGGAAATCAAAAGAAGCAAATGAAAGAGTGTTGCTTATGAATGATGATGAGGAATGGAATGGTAGAGGTCCCTTTTTATACAAAACAAAATGTGTACGTGTCTTCTCAAGTGGATCACTTTATTTATTATACAAACAAAATGCTACGAATATCAATCAATTCTTGCTAAGTGCCTAGTAAGCTCTTTTTAAGAAACACCATCACATCGCAGTCTATACTTAATTAGAGGTTTCAGATTTAAATTCTAAATATATAAAAAAAAAAAAATTATAATCAAGGAGGGTTTTCCTTGACTATGCCCTACATGATATGAATTCAGATTAGTTAGACTCTAGTACAAATATCGAACACTGAATAAGGAAAGAAAAGCTTTCTTAAAAACACAATTTTATAATTTCGGATGTGCTCATCCAAGAAAAATGTTCTTTTTTTAAAAAAATATATGAATTTTCTTTTTCATGGTTGATACTTAAGTAAAAAATATGATACTAAAATGATATGTATATTATAATCTAGAAAAATAAGTATTGAAGTTGAAGAGTGATGGGAATAGGGGGCTAAGATGAAAATGAAGTGTGTCTAAAACTTAAAAGGATGGAAGAATACCGTTAATGTTACTAATAAAACTTATTTTTCTTGCTTTCATAAGAGAGGAAAGACATTTACCTTCATTTTTTAAATAATTTATTTTCTTAGAAAAAATAATTTTCAAAAGAAATTATTAATTAAACATAAAAAACAAATAAAAAGAAAATGTTTCTTCCTTCATACCAAACACAACCTATAGAAAATAAAGGATAACTTGATGTACTTAATGTTAATTTAGGAAGTGATCGCACTTCAAGAGGTATAATTTAGTGGATAATCTTATGGTTCCAACTCATAATTTATAAATTATATAAAGATAATTTTATCTTCACTTTAAGATTCACTTCAACTTTATGATTTATAATTTGTAGTAACTATTTAAATTATTTATCCATTTAACTTTTTTGGTACAAATCTCATCTCACGGTAATTGTGGTAGTTGTTGGCCGTTGAGTTCATTGAATAACCAATTACCTCTTTTCCAATTTTCTTCTTTTGAAAAGAAAGAAAGCTAAGTTCACATTTTCAAGACCTTAGGTTTGACATGAAAGAAAAATAATACCGTGAAAACAATATATAGTGCTTGATCAATTTATTTATTTATCCGATGTTTGATATCTATATTGTAAGCTCATCTAAATAGGATTTATATTGTATAAGTAGGGATTTACATCAGTCGTTTGTTTCATATATTATCGCTATGATTTATTGATTTTCAGTATTTAAATACGATAAATCAATAAGATATTTTTATTGGTTTATCGGTTTTGATCTTTAAAGGTTCGATTTTTTAATTAACCAATAAAAAGATGCTTATAAAATAAATATATGGCTTCTTCAATAATTTGATTATAAGACAAGATAATACTGTACTAAATTATAGAATGCTCATAAAATAGAAACAAGTATAACTAATATGAAAAGAACTATACAAGTGCAACATAAAGAAAAAATTAAGAGGAATAGAGGGTTTTTACTTTAGGTATTGAAGTTATGTATAATGTGAAGTTGTGAACTTAAAGTCATTGTGAAGTGTGAATTGAAGGCTTGAGGACACAGATACTAACCAATAAATACGGAGATTAATATTTAATATTTATATAGGGATAAAATAGTAAATCACTACCGTCTTAATGAGTTAGTTGGCAAAATCATTAAAAAATTGTTAACTTAATAACTCAATAACGATAAACAAATAAGAATTTTTTCAATTCAATTTATCAATGAGTTTAGTTTTTACACGCCCCTGCATATAAATCTCAATTAAAGAAAGAAATGAATATATGATTAATTTAAATTTGTACCACATAAGACTTATTAAATAATCATCAATTGATTAAATTCGTAATCTTATTTATCTCATCGCAATCTAACAATTTTGTCCAATGAAAATGTTTTAACATGCATGCACCTTCGTTTCTACTCCCCTTGTCAGTTTGTCTTCCAGTTTCACAGTTGTTTTATCCAAAACCACTTTTGGTGCTTCTGTATTTAACAGTAATACAATGGACTCATTCTTTGTTTAATATTGGTGGACCCGACCCGTTTCCTTGATGATGACTTTAAAACCCTTTTTTATGTCAATTTGTTGGGATACTATATTTGATTTGTGGTTGGGATTTGACCTTTTTAAATAAAATTCACTCAATGTTCAAAGCACACATTGGAGCTCCCATTAAGTTTAAATCGCCTATTGCAGGGCTTATTCGGGAATGACGTTTCCAACAGGATTTTCACCATATTCAAGACTCAAATTCGAAACCTCTGATTAAGGATAAAAAACACTTCCAACAGTACACCCAACTCATGTAAATTTAAACTTTTTTATTTGTTAGTGTGTTTACAATAATGACAATATTTTATTACTTGCATAGGGAAAATAAAAGTTAATTGAGGATAATACTATGATCTTTAATGTTTTGATTGTACGGTATGTTTCTGGATTTCTTGAATTTTCAAAGGTTCCTTTTTCTCTTTTTGACTCTATCATCCTTGAACCAATTACATCTTACATTACGTGTGTTTTAAAAATTGAAATTAAGAATAGATTTTGAAATTTATTTATTAACTCTAAATATATATATATATATATATATATATATAAGGTTAAAAATAATTTTAAAAAATTTATGTATACATTATGGATTGTTAAATTCATTTTGACTTCCGTGTGTTCAAATTTTTTATAAAGATTTTGAAGCGGTGAAAATTCTAATTATACCACTTATACATGCATATTTTTCTTTATTTTTCAATGTAGAGAAATTATGTAGGCATTTGATCATAAATTTCAAATATTATTTACTTTACTTAGAATTTATTAGATCATCAAATATTTGAAAAACTGATCATTCTTAAGTATACTCCAAATACTATTTCAAAAAATAAAAAGTGAGTAGAAAAACAAATTTTAAGCTATTTTCAAATAAGAAAATAACTTTAAATTGAATTTAAAATTTTCGTAATCAAATTTTCAAATAAAATAAAAAATCATTTCGACAAACAAAAAGAATTGTTTATGGGCAAATTGGTCCACTTTAATTGTCATATACCATGCATGTCTTTTTTGTTGGTGGTTTCTAGAAATAGGGTGTAGGATTATGACTTTGTTTCTCTCCTCCATATATTAGCTACAAACCATATCCAATCCACCAACTACAAAGACAAGACAAGAGGAATTAAATCACTTTTTAAAAAAAATGTTTTTCAACTTAAAACAAGATTAAATATTATGATCCGAAATAGAGTAAGATATGCAGTCCACAGTACTTTTTGTCTTCACGTGCGTGCAGATCTGATTCTTTTTTAGAGTTAAGCATGTGAAAATTCTGATTGATATGGGTGACGGTAAAATTCGATTTCAAAACCTTTGTCTGCTCTAATATCATATTAAAATGTGTGACCATCTCATCTAAAATATAAA